CCAGAACAGACGGAAGAAGAGTTAGCCAGAGAGAGGCTTGGAAGGGAAAGGAGAGGACCACTGTGTTACACCCACATCTGAGGGGCTGGGCTGGCCTGGGTCACACCCATGGAGGCCGGGGGAGGGCCCGGCTCCGGGCCCGGAACGCAGGTATACTTGGACCTCCCCCTGCTCCCCTACCAGGGGTCTGGGACAAAGTCCTGGGCTGGTGCAGGGCTTGGTAAAAAATAATTAATTTCTTTTCAAGGGAAAGCTCTCACTTAAGGCTTTTCCCCGGCCCTAGCAGCAACATCCTTGCTTAGGTCTGAGGCGTGGAAGCAGCTCGGAACTATCCATGGCCTCTCCATGGCCGACCTGAGTCTGCTCTGCGTCTCCAGGCCCTACTTGGAAGACCTTGTGGGCTCCAGGTGAGTGGGGTCCAAGGCAATCCTGGGACCCAAGCACAGCTGGGAGGGGCAAGGCTGTGCCCCATTGGGTTAGTGTGTGTGTGTGTGTGTGTGTGTATGCACGCGTGCCTGTGTCATGCTGTAGGGCAGACAAGGCGTGCCTGCACGGAGTTGTCTGTGGATCGGACATTACAGCATCAGGGGGCCCGTGACAGGAGGCCCCCACCTCCAGGCGCCCCAGGAGTGCTCCCTGTCTGGGGCAGAGACTCCCAGCCCCTCTGCCCGCCCCCCTTCCCTCCCTTTGCCTTCCTGAGAGGTGAGAAAACCAGGCTTCCTGCTGCCAGGGGAGGGGGCTGCCCGACCAGCTGCTGTGGGAGCCTCCAGTGACTCATCCGGGTGGGGGGTGTTTATGAGCAGCCGAAATGGCTGTAAAAGTGGCACCTCAGTTCACTTATGGCCTGGCCATCCCCACCCCTACCAGCCCCTTGCCTTGAAAAACTTCCAGAGGGGCCTGGAACCATGGAGAGGTCTGAGGCTTGGTGGAGGCTCAGCCTGGGGTCAGGGTTCAGCTAGGGGTCAGAGGTCAGACTGGGAAAAAGACTCTGTGTGGGGGATAAAACTCAGTCTGGGATCAGGGTCGAGATTGGGATTCAAGCTGACTTTAGAGCTAGGACTGGGGGGTGAAGGGGGGAGGGTCTGCAGGCCAGTTTTCCCACAGAGCCCCCAGGATGGGACGAGGGGGTTTCTAAGGGAGTGAGGTAGAGCTGAAAAGCTAAGAGCTGAGTGTCTGTCTTTCCTTCTTGAGTCTGGTGCCCACCGCGGCCCTAGGGTCTGTGTAGCTTGGCCAGAGCCCTACTCACAGTGGCAATGGCAGCAGCAGAATCCAGTTTAGGGCCACTGGGCCCGAGTCCAGTTCTGAACTCCAGTAACCATCTTGGCTCTTCCCCATTAGAGGCAGGAATCCCTAAAAGGGACTCCCTATCCCCAACCAGACCTTTACAAATGCCACTGAAACTGGCCAGAAACTGACCCTGCAGCCCTGGGGCTTGCCTGTCAAAAAGGGCAGGCTGGCTCTGCCAGGCACTCGGGCGCTACCAGTTAATGTGTGACACCCCATCCCCATGGTGGTACTTTAACCGAGGCCTAGAGGTGACTTAGGGATCAGCCTCCCCCACACTGGGAGAATGTCCAGCAAGGGCCTCAGGGGTGAGGCACAGGAATTATGGCTAGAGGAACACCCTTAAGGGGCCCGCCGCCCATCAGATCCCTCTCTGCAGCCCTGCGCACAGCCCACCCTGGTCCTCCCGAGTACAAATACTGTGTTTCCCAATCTCAAGCTGTCTGATGTCAGGTCTGAGGACTCCCTACATCAGCCCCTAGTTTAACACCAGTCCCTCCAATCCCTCCATGAAGATTCTTTTCCTATCACAGGGAAGGGGTGGTCAGCCATAGACCCATAAAACGTAATAGAATGGTTTAGAAACGTCGAGACATAAAAGTGAGACCATCAAAATAGAACACTGAAGAATCACCAATGTTCCTTAGGTACCCACTCTGGGCACCTGGGCCTCAATCCCTGTTCCTAAGTAACCCACACACCATAGGGGGCAGCTCCCAAATCACATCCCCTCCCAGTAATGGAGGATTGGTGTCACAAGGAAGGAGGGATGTTCTTTACACCAGACAAAGCAGGATCCTAGCAAGGGCAGGGGAGGGAGCATGGGGAGAAGACGAGGAGTCTAGTGGACAGTGCTTGTTGGGGAAGGTCACCTCCGGAGGAAACTGCCTCAAACAGCAGAGTCCTTAATCACCAGGACAAGAAACTCCAGGGTACAGAGGAGGGTGTGGCCACAGACTCCTATGGAGAAGACAGCTGTGCATACAGTATGAGACATGGGTGGGTTTGGGCCTGAAGAAGGGTGGGCTGCCAGGAAGGCTGGCTGCAGCTGGATTCCAGAGGCCTTAGGGTTTAGGCTGGTGGATCCATTCACATGGGGGAGGGAGGGGGCCAGCCCTGAGATGGTTGGGGGGAGGCGCTGGTTTGGGGGCTCTGAGGAGCTCAATTTCCACAGGCTGAGTCTGGGAAGCCCATGGGTCTGGCCACCCACCCTCTGCAGCACTAAAACAGTAAAGTGAAAAGTGCCCTTTGAATCGGCTGGTCAAATCCTCGTTTTACAGATGAGGAAACTGAGGCTCAGAGAGCAGGAAGTCGTCCTGCGCAGGATATATAACAGGTGAGTGGGTAATCGGGGACTGCCACTTCGCTCAGATGGTATTTCCGAGGGTCGCTTCCCCCAGGCCATCTTTGAAGCCATTCGCTCCAAGCATCCCAGGCCCTCCCCAGCAACGCGACTTCCCTGCCAGGTACTGAAAGATGGCAGGCTTGGGGTCCGAGATCCCTTCCTCTCTGCGCTACAGCGTCCCCTCCCGGGCGTGAGCTTGAAACCCCGCCCCCACAGACTCATCCCGTTCTTCCCCCAAGTTGGGGGTCCCCAGTGGACCAGAGCCCACCTGGAGTGTTTGGAGATGTGAAGAGGTGGAGAGGGACTCAGGGCTCCGGAGTGGGGGTACCGGCGGAGCCCCGAGTCTCGCGGCTTGGAGTCTCCCGGGGTGGAGTCAGGGGCGGAGCTGGAGGGGTGGAGGCCAGGCCGGCGTCTGGAAGGGTCGAGACTCTGGGAGACCCGGACCCCGGGGAGAGACAGGGGAGGGTGGGAGAGGGACGTGAGCCCCGAGACGCGGGCAGGGGCGGGGCCGGGACTAAGACCATAGCCGACCTACCCACCCGGGAGTTCCCGAGGCCGGGGGTCCAGGCGAGGGCGGGGCGGGGCGAGAGGGCAGCGGCTGCCGAGCGGGGCTCGGGCTGGCAGCCCAGCAGCCTCCCCAGGGACCCCGGTGCAGCCCGAGCGGGAGTCCCGCGGGCGAACGGACAGCGCCGCGGCCGGGGGCGCGCGGGGTACCTCCCGTGGAAGAGGTCCTGCTTCGCGGCTGAGGGTCCCTATTCACCGGCCCGGGCAGGCTGATCAGAAAAAATAACGTCTGTTTCTCCCGGAGAAGAGAATGAAGCGGCGGCAGCGTCGCAGGCTACGTTCCCGGGCCCCGATGTCAGGGCTCCCTTGGCCCCGTCCCCTCCACACTCACATCCCGCCGCTGGCGACCCGGGGCGCGGCCTCTAGAGAGACGTCCCGGGGCAGGGGCAGCGGGCTCAGCTCGGCCGCTCCGCACTCCCGTGGCGGAGGCGGCGCGGGGGGGGGGGCGGGGGGAGCGGGGGGCGGGAGAGGCCCGGGGAGGGCGCGGGGGAGGGAAGAGGCGCCCGGCCGGGGGGGGGGGGAGGGGGAGCGGCAGACGCCGAGGCGAGGGACGCGCACGGCGGGCGGCGGCTCCGAGCGGCGGCCGGGCGGGGGGCGCTGGAGGCCGGGCCGGCCAGAGGGGATCCCGAGAGCCCCATGAAGTGCCCCGGGGGCCGCGGACGGGGCGCTGTCCTGGGGAGGCTGTCGGGGGGTCCCCGACATCCATGGCTAGGCGCGGGCCGCGGCGGCGCGCTCGGAGTAAGTCGGGGTCGGGGGCCAGAGCCTGGGGAAGGGGGCCGGCGTTGGGTAGGGGTGACGCCGGGCCTGGCCGGGGCGGGCAGGCTGGTCCGTCTCGGTGTCAGTCGGCGGCGCCTCCTCGGAGGCCGGTGGAGTCGGCGGCCCCGCGCCGCTCGGCTCGGTGGCTTTTTTGGAAACTTGCAAATGTTTTCGTAGAGAGAGGGAAGGGGGAGGGGAGGTAAGGAGCGAGGGAGTGACCGAAACGGAGCTCGGGGCTGCTGGAAGAACGGAGGCCAAGGCTGGGGGAGCTAAAGACGGACTGACAGGCCGACAGGCAGAGCGTCGCGGCCGCAGGCGTGCTTCAGCGGCGCGGGCGCAGGCGGGGCTCCGGCCCAGGATGGGGAGAGAGTGCGGGAGGCAGCGGCGGACAGGATGGGGATCCGAGGGGCACTGAGGGGCAGGGAGCTGACGGCCTGATCGCCGAAGGGCTCAGTGTCGTTGCAAAGTTGAGATCGCGTTCCTAAGCTGCACGCCCCGAGCGGCTCAAAACGCGCCCCCCGCCCCGCCCCACCTCCCCTCCTTGCGCTGCCCGCGGAGCTAAAAATAACAGCCCGGTTCGCCCCCCGCAGACCGCGACCCCAACCCCTCCCCCGACCCCTCCCCCACTGGGCGTGGGGCGAAGCCACAGCTTCTAGTTCCCCAAAAGAAAAAAAAAAAAGAAAGAAAGAAAGAAAGAAAGAAAAGGCGGCGCGGGGTGGGGGTGGGGGGGCGGGGGGCGGGCCGGGGGCGGGGGGCCCGGCCATATGGATGTGATTTCTCCGCTCCGAGGCAGACGGGCAGCTCCGCAGCGCTCGGCGCCCGCCCGCCGCCCGCCCGGCCCCCGGCTGCCTCCCTTCCTCCCTCCCTCTCTTTCTCCTTTGCGCTCGCTCGCTAGCCCTCGGCGCATGGGCCCCGCGCCGGGCCCCGGGGCCTCGGGCCGCCGAGCCTCCGGGGTCCCCTAGGCCCGGGCGTGGGCGGGGCAGCCCGGCCTGACGCAGCTCTGTACCCCACCACCACTACCACCAGGGCCGGCGGCGGCGGCTGCCCCGAGGGACGGGGCCCTAGGCGGTGGCGATGGGGGCCGCCCGGATCGCGCCCGGCCTGGCGCTCCTACTCTGCTGCCCGGTGCTCAGCTCCGCATACGCACTGGTAAGTCCCTCACCCGCACACCGGGACAGGCTGCGGGCTTGCTCTGCGGTCCCTGGGGTGGGTCCAGGGCGCAGAGGCTTGGGTTCCCTGAGTAATCTGAACTCCGGGTGAGCGTCCTGTCTGACCCGAGATCCTGGGTGCCTGCTGCCTCTGGTGTGTCTGGACTCGGTGCCAGATGCCTGAGGTCTCCTTATTTCTGAAGCCTGGGTTTGGGGTCCCAAGTCTGGAAATCTGTGGTTGGGGTTCCCCTATCTTCTGCCTCTGTGAGCACCACTCCTGTGGTTGTGTCTCCCTCGGAGATGACAATGTGATCTAGCCGTAGACTGTGCTTTGGCCCTAATGTAAGGTCCCACAGACTTTGTTCCAGGGCCTCTGTTTTCTGCAAGTGTTGTTTGCAATCCAGGACAGGGGGCTGTGAGCATGAGGTCAGAGTCAACCGGGCAGGGGGTAGGATTTAGGGTCCCCTCCAGCTCTCACAATCACATGCATGCACACATCGCGTACGCTCTTGCCCAGGGAGGCGGTGTGTGTGGCATGGAGGAAGGATGGAGGTCCCCTGAAGGAGACTGACCTCACAGAACACTTCTTCAGGAGAAACGTGCTGGAGGGGGACTCTGGTGAGTGAGGGACAGAGCAGAGGCCATGAGGGGACCAGAGGGAGAAGAAGAAACAGGTTGAGAGATAGGCAAAAGAGACAGAGGAGGTGAGGATGAGGGCACCCCAGAGTAGAAGCAGTAGACAGACCAAGAATAGCAGAGAAAAGCAGGCACCAGCAGAGGCCAAGAGCTGGAGACAAGGAGCGAAGCATTATGGTCCGGGGCCAAAGTCTGGGATCCAGGTGCTGGGGAGTCAGTCGGATCCCTCAGCAGCCCTGTCCCAGGTGACTAGCTCATTGCTGAGGAGACTGTCTGCCTGTGTGTCCCGCTTCAAGGCCCCTGCTGCCTCCCCAGTACCTCCTAGGTGGGGGCATCAGCCTTCTAGAGAGAGAAGCAGACAGGCAGGCAGCTGCCACCCCCCCAGCTCCCTACCCAGGTAGAACCTCGGGAAAGCAAGTGCTCTGAGATTCCTCCAGCTCTGCCCAGTGCCTGTGTGACCTCGGGCCATCCTCCACACCTCAGTTTCTCCATCTGTAAAAACCAGCAAGAAATATGTGCCTAAGAATCCTCTGATCTGAGGCTCTCTTCTCCTCTGGGGGCCTCAGCGTGTTCCACTCCCTGGCGCCCATGCCCTCCGGACTCTGGCTCCCCAAAGGCAGAGACCTCACCCCATAGGAGGACTTATAGATGGGGGAAATGGAGGCTCAGAGACTTGTGCGGAGGCAGATGCAAGGACCCAGGGCTGTTTCCCCACACTCCCCTTGGGCCGGGCTCACGGTCCCCAGGCCCCTTCCAGGCTGTGTGCAGAGCTGGCCCGCAGCCTGTGTGCACACATGTGGGGTAGGCAGGAGGATGGGTGTGAGCGTCCTGACGGCGTGTGTGTGTGTGTGTGTGTGTGTGTGTCAGAGCAGGGCCCAGTGCGACTCGGGGTATGCTGTTCTCCACGTCCGTGTGAGTGTGTGTCTGAGTCGTGTGTGAACTCACATGTACCCGGAGCTGGGTCTGCACATCACTTGAAGGGATGCAGTTGTGCGTATATGTGCGTGTGTTTTTGTGAGCGCATGTGCACCCAGGTCTATTGTTTCTTATTTTTATTTAATAAATGCTTCTGTAGTGTTTTCTTCTTGCCAGACACTATTCTAAGCACTTTACAATATTAACTAATCGTTCCAACAACCCTCTAAAAAAGGTTGTGTTATTGTTCCCATTTTTAAAGTAATCTGAATCACATGATCAACATGACCATTTTTTATTGCATGCCAACCTGGGGCTCAGCCCCATGTCTCTATGGGGAGGGGGTAATGGGTTCAGGGCCCCTCACTGATTGCTGGGGGAGCTGAGGCACATGCAGAAAACTGGCCTGGCTTAGCCCCGGTGCAGTTCTCAGGGTAGGGCAGGAGGAGGGATGCCATGCCTTGTCAGTGGCTGGATACTCAGGCTGTGTATACACTGGGCCTTCCCTGGGTTCAGGGCTAAAGGATGTGGCCCAAGCTCACCCAGTTCCCTGTAGGTCCCCCGGGCTCAGCTGGAGCCAACAAGAGACCGACAGCCTGACAGCTTCCTCTTTTGAACCCCGCCCCCCCCCACCTGGAGTGACTGTTCCCACCCAGATCTGTGCTGTGGCCCGCTAAGCCCACCAAACTCAGCGGATAGCCCCTGCCACCAGACCTGTATGCAGGCGGCCCAGCCAGTCCCAGATGCAGGCTCAAGTCTCCAGGGACCTCAGGACTGGGAGGCCAAAAAGCATCCCCCTGGGAGGACGTCCGCTTTGGCCAGACTCAGCTGGTCCGTCTTGTGCCTTACGGGGGTACTAGCTGTGCGCTGGGGGTCGGTGGAGTGGATTTGGAGGAAGGGATGGACCCGCGGATGTGAGTAGGGGGCAAAGGAGTGGTCCTATCCTTGGGGATGCCTCATCCTAAGGACATGTGAAAGAGAAACTGCAGGTCAGCATGGGGGGCAGGCCTTGAGGGTAGAGATGCGATGTGACCCTGGGGTCAAACCCAGGAGGGACTGTGGTGGGTGGGAGTACAGGAGACCAGTCCTAGCGTGCTCCCTGGGCAGTGTGGCCATGGGCCCTCTTTTAAAGATAGGAAGGAACCACCACGTGTTGAACAATGGCTGTCCTCAGATTCTGAGCTAGAGATTGTCACAAATGTTTTCTCGTTCCACCCTTTCGCTAGCCCATTTTATGGGAAGGGGCCCTGAGGTTTAGCCAGATGTGGGACTTGAACCCATGTCTTCAGACTCTTGCACTGAGCTTCTTCCTCCAGAGTGAGAGCCTTGTGCCCCACTGTGGGTTATTTAATTTCCCTCCCTCCCTCCCTCCCTTCCTCCCTTCCTTCCTTCCTTCCTTCCTTCCTTCCTTCCTTCCTTCCCTCCCTCCCTCCCTTCCTTCCTTCCTTTCCTTTTCTTTCTTCCTTCCTTCTTTTTTTCCCTCTTTCCCCTTTCTTCTTCTCTCTCTTTCTTTTCTTTCTCCTTCCTTCTTTCTCTCCTTCTTTCCTTCCATAAAATCTCTGTTTCTCTTTCCTTCCTTCCTTCCATAAAATCCTTCTGTTATTTTACTTTTTTTATATTAATTAAACAACTTGATACTTTCTTTTTTTTGAGAGATGCTAGTATCATTTATTCTTTTATTTTCAAGCTCCCTCAACAACTCCTGTTTTTTTTAAAGGGAAGGCAGCTCTACTGTGAATATAATTTCGGATAGGAGAAGACCCAGCCTTTCTTCTTATTTTTAATTGAACAACTGATACCTGAGTATGTTCTTTCTGATAAGAGTCACATAATATAGAGTAAACAGAATTAATCCTTGATGATCCTCAAGTCCCAGGATCTCCTCTAGAGAAAATCATTTTTAACAATCTGGGTGGGGGGTGTCTTCCTGTTTTCTGTATATTTCCAAAAGGTACTTTTGTGTATACATATAAAGCAAACAGTTTTGCTGTTGTTTTCTGCTTGTTGTCAAATGAATGGTGTCTGTTTGTAGGTAAAGCTCTGCCATATGCATTTTTTACCTTAAAGGTGTATCTTAGAGATCTTCTTGTCAGGTAACATAAATCTAATTTTTAATGGTGCATAGTATTCCAAAATCTGGGATGCATGAAGCCGTCCCCAGAAATGGACATGTAGATCTTTTCTGCAAAGGTGTGAGTGAGTGAGTGAGTGAGTGAGTGAGTGAGTGAGTGTGTGTGTGTGTGTGTGTGTGATTCTAGACGGGGGCAGAGAAGCTCCTTGAAATGCCCTCCCGTGGCCCTGTGTGACCATTTCTCTGCAGGGTATTTCTGTCGTTGCTGGGTCTGAGAACATGCACATTTTTGATTTTAGTAGACATGGCCAAACTGCCCTCTAGAAACTTGTGCAAATTTATAGTCACAAAACCAGGAGTGACCGGGAGTGTCTCTCCCCAACACCCTCTGTCTCCTGGGGAAGCATGAGCATTTTCACCTTTGCCATTCTGATAGGTGAAAAATGGTGTCTCTTGTCATTTTAATTTGCCAATTACCGTAAGCTTTTGGACTTTACATCAGTCTGTCATCCCTCTTCTAAGAGCTCGCACGGAGCCATTACTCCCTCCTCTTTCTATGGCTTGTTTGTCTTTTTTGTATTGATTTGTTCAAGCTTTTTATATCACCTGCCCTTAAACACCCCTCCCCACACTTCCCCCCCCCCCCCCCCCCCCCCCCCCAATGGCCTGTGGACAGAGCAAGAGGAGGGGAGCAGAGCCCTCCGGGAACTTGGGTTTTCTTCGGAATGTTTTAATGAGGCGTCAAGTGGCCTCCCCCAGATTCCTGTTGTGGGCCTTCTGGGGACACTCCCTGGTCCAGCCACCACATCAGGAAAGCAGCTCTTTCAGAGGGAGAGAGTCCCTAGGAAGAAGAAAGGGGGGGGTGTTTGCAGACCCTTGAAAGTGTCTGCAAGATACAATGTGGCTGAGAGAGGGTGCAGAGTCTCCCTCAGATTTGCAAAGACGTCAGAAACCCCCAAACCCTAGAGAACCCCAACTCCAGGACTGGCTGTGTGCGGAGGAGAGACCTGGGGGGATTCTATTCTGCTGACCAGGCATATGGTCCGGTTAGACCGTACTGTCCTTCGAGGCCTTGGTCCTCCCCGCCAGGTAGAGGCCGCCGTCTGTGAAGATCCACCGGGTCCAGCGGCCAACTCCGCCATCCCAGGCTCCATCCCACCGCCTGCCCTGAAGGCGTCCGTCCCTGCTGGCCAGGATGAGAGGCGTCACAGTGCCTCCCCCCCCCCAGCCCCTCCCAGCCCTGAACACAGGCAGCCTGTTCAGAAAGGCCAGGAGAGGGGGAGGAAAAGTCAGCACTTGTCAGCGGTGGCGGGGCAGGAGTGTCCCCGGCAGGGAGCCCGTCCCAGCCTGCTCGGGCCAGCCGGACAGACGGAGGGCAG